GTTGTGGTATGGACCCTGGTAATGGTACAGGGCGCACTTGTTTTGGGGGTGGAGGAGCAGCGGCCGAAGGCTCTGAATATGCAACCGGGGCCAAAGGCCCTCCAATGGAGCCGCGTTGAGATCGCGCATGTTGTAGGGAGCCAACAGATCCGCGATACGGAGTGCTACTTGATGCATAGCTCGGGGTATATGCAGGTGAGGGAAGCGGAGGATAAGACCTTTGGTGCGATGGTTCGACTGGCGAAGTAAGAGACGAATACCCTCCTTGCTCAGGATGTGGTGGATGGCGCTGAAAAGGACGGTGCTCCTCATAGGAATAGCGCTGTTCAGCTAGTCTTCGCGGGCCTCTGCTGTCATATTCTGAATGTGGCGAGATTGGAGGGCCGTATTGCCGAGGAGAATATGGCGGATCGGATCTGGGCGGGGTATATGGATTGGAGGGCTGCAACAGCTTGTCAACCGGCGCGGCTGCTGGTCTATGTGTCGCGTGGGGCTGTGGGTGGTAGTCATTGCGAGGAGGCAGTCCAGAGTGGATTGAAGGGAGCTGATTGATGGGGGAGCGGAAGTGGTGATCCGGCCGGTGTGGTACAGCATCTGGGGGAATCTCTAGTGGGGGCAGGCGGCGATGGGAGTAGTCGAGGAAGCCTGGAGGGGAGAAGACGGGAGGCTTCTGCGTCTCAGTCATGGCTGGAGGGGGTTGAGAAGCGGGTGGTAGAGGGAGGGCCGGGGGTGGAGGAAGAGGAGGTGGTTGGGACATGCGTGTATTATTATTTGCCCGAACCAGGACACAATGCACGCAGCCGCATTTGGATCACGTTTGTGTTCAGTTTGGAGGCTCTTTTCAGACTGGGAGCGTCCGGGCGTGGTGCAGAGTTGGACAGGACGTCAGGAATGCAGCACTGCCTCTAGTGTGGCGGCATGAGTGGTTTATAGTTGAAGAGCCCCTTGTAGGCGACCCTGTACGTATCTGGATCGCCAGCAGCCAGATCGCCGCCGGGCTGCTTGAATTCAGTAATGGCGACGTTAAGGTGGAGAGGCGCTCAGACGCATTAAAACAACGGCCGCCCGGGAAGAGGACAGGATGCAGACCGGGGCGGACCCGCATGCACCCTGTTCACTGGCAAGCCTCACGCCAACCGTCAAGCGTAGCCGGCTCGGAGCATAAATTTCGACCAGGACAGCGATAAGTGCAGCAGACGACGCTGCGTGATGTGTGGATCCGAGCTTGGCGGACGGCTAGTTCGTGGACCCCCAGATTCTGACGTGTGGGCTGCGGCGAGGCCATGTGAAGCACTTGGGACGACGGCGCCCGCAAGGCACTACGAGCGTCGGGCGGCGGAGTAAGTACTCGAGACGATTATGTAGCGTAGCTTGTGCAAGGCAGTGGTGTGATGTTGCTGTTGTTGTTATTGTCGCTGTTGCTGTTGATTCATTCACTTGACGATGGACTGTTTCATTCAGCCATCCATTCATCCAGTAGTGGCATCATGTCTGCCTCGATGATTCATTTATTCGCCCATCCATCTATCCACCCCCGCCAGCTACCCAGCTACCCAGCTGCCCAGCTACCCACCCGTTGATTCAATTATTTGCATCGTGTCTAGGATAATGCCGGACTAGCTGACGCATGTCGTCTCGGGGGGTGGTGGGCATCCACACACTCTCCCTCCTCTATCTGGACCTCATGCAGCAGTGAGTTTTGGGAAGCATACCCGGGCGCCAGACACAGGAAGCTCTCTTTTTTTTCTCTGGTCTCTGCGCGCCTCTTGCTGTCTGTCTCTCTCCTTGTCGCGGCCAGCTGGCAGGTGTTTTCGTGGGGCGTCGCCAGAAAGAGGTCGAGGCCGGGCCCATCGAGAGACAAACAATGGCGAGCGGGTTTCGCAGGCCAGCTTGATTTCGAATCACAGCGGGCCAGGGTGTCGCACGCTGTAACGCGGCGGGCAGCCAATATGGAGCAACATGCCAGATATCACATAGCTCCAAGGACTGGGAGGAGGGGGGATGCGGCAAGAGGGAGCGGAGGTAGCATTGCGAAGCGGGTGTGTGCCTAGACCACCTGCAACGCTGTTGCAAGGGTGGTGTGGACGGCTCGAATTGAACAGCTTAGTGCTCTCGGCTTGAGGCCGTGAAGAGCTTCATCTGCCAGAGGGCACGGGGAGGGGGAGCTCCAATGGCACGCCGGCGGGTTGCGGCTAAAAGCGATCTGCCCTGCGACGTCTTTCCTCAAGCTCTCCCCGCTGCTCGGTGGAGACTTTTTTCTGCTGGGTCTGCTGCCACGGACGCTGCGTGAATGATGAGCCATAGTGGCGACCAGGGTCAGCAACGGGTCTGCCCAATTCCGGGATTTTGGGAGAGTGCGCGATGCAGAGGCGCAACTTTGTGCTCGACAGACCGAGACATACATGAGCCCGTCTCACGCGAATCACGCCGCCGCCCGCTTGGAGAGGGGGAAGGTGGAGGGATTGCGAGGGTGCCATTAGGGGGGGTATGTATGTGTGTGTGTGTGTGTGTGTGGGCTTGCGGCAGTTGTGCCCTTTGGCCGTTAATTGTCACCGTCACCGTCACCGTCGCCATCGCCGTCACCTGTCCAACGACATCTGCGTCAATAGTGGGTGACGAGTATACGCCTACCTACATGCACCGGATTCTGGGGCCCTGCCACGGGCCCTGTCCCTCATGTTGCACTGCAACCCTGGCAAATGCCGCCTTTTGCGGGCGCCCGAGCGCAAGCACCTCCCTACAGTCGTATCGTGGAGCCGGCAGAGCCCCTAATAGTCGACGCGTAGGTAAGTAAGTATTGCTGGCACGCACTGGCGAGCGCCCACCCAGCGTACCTGCGCTCACCCTGGCCTAGCCAAGTCGGCGCTGTGCGACCTTGGGCGGGCGCATTGCTGCTTTCATGAGCTGCTCCTGGGCCGGTCTGCCCTGCGCGCTTCACGGGCCTCGCTTCGCGCCCTCCATTTATTTAACTTGCACATGGGTGGTTTGGCTGCGTGATTGATTGAGTGATTGCTGGATTACTGGATTGGATTGGATGGATGGATGGATGGATGGATGGATGGATGGATGGATGGGGTTTTGATTGAGCAAGCGACTGACTGAGGGAGTGACCGGACTGGACTGATTGGTTGCCAGCCTGAGAGAAGGAGTATCGTAAAGAGACACACAGAGAGAGGAAGGAGCAGATCTGCCGTGCTAGGCCCTTTACGCGAGCTCCTTCCCTCGCTGCCATCCCACTCCACTCACTCATTCACCCACTCACTCACCCACTCCCTTCCCATTCGCAAATCCTTCTCTACTCTCACTCTACTCCTCCCACTCTACTGCTGTATATATCCACTATTACTATACTTGCTAGTGTTCTCCTGCTGGCCACTCACCATCTCCCCTCCACCATCCCTATCCATCCATATCCCTATCCCATCTCCATCCTCCACCACGCACTGCCTCTCCCCTCCCTCCCCTCCCTTATCCTTCCCCCCGTTAGCCTCATCTCATCTCGCCTCACCTCGCCCGTCTGCCCATCGACTATACCCAGTTCCCTTTCCCTCTCCCTCTCCCCCCTCTCCCATCCCACCCCATCCCTCCAACCCAAAACTCATCGCCGCCCCCATCGCATGAATCACGTCGCCACTCGCCCGCAACAGGCCGCCCCCAAGAACCTGCGCCCCCGTCGCGATCGACACCCCCGCTAAACAAGCACCCTGGCTCGACTCTGCCGCCATGGCTACCAGGTTTGGCAATTACCACGGTGCGTGCCACCAAACTTTGCCCTGAACGGTTCCTTGTCCCCTCCTGCCTTTACTCGAACCGGCCGGCCGCTCGGCACAGGTTGCCTCGACTAGCCGTTGCTGACTCCGCGCGCAGATTATAGTGGCGTCTCCAAACAACCTGCCTCTGCCACTCATGTCGTCGACCCACGACTGCAAATCCTGGATACGCTGATCCCGGCCATCTTCACCGCCAAGCACTGTTTGGATGTGGGTGCAAACGCAGGCAGTGTCAGTGTTCAACTCGGTAAGTCGTCGCCAAGGATACCCCTGCTCGCCTCGTCGAACCGACTATGAACAACCATGTGCTTGATATTGATCAAACTTGCAGCCTTTGACTTTGACGCCGCCTCCGTGACCGGCGTCGATATAGATCCCAGCCTAGTTGGCCAGGCCGAGAAGCTTTACGCTCTGCGCGCCTCCCGCCGTCGGCCCCCTACCGCTAGTTCGCCGCCCGTTGTCGACTACTTTCCCCTCTCGGCCCTGCTCACCCATGGCTATCGCATAGAGCCCCAAGGCAAGGCTGCACCCAACCCGTCGCCTTGGTTGGCCAGCATGCCGAGCGTCAACTTCGTCGCAGCGGATTGGGCCCTGCCCACCGGCCACCATCTCCAAGACACTTATGATGTGATCCTAGCTTTATCCGTCATCAAATGGATCCATCTCGAGCATGGCGACCAAGGCCTGGTCGCCTTCTTCGCCAAATGCAGCAACTCGCTTGCACCTGACGGATATCTTGTTATCGAGCTCCAGCCGTGGGATTCGTATCTCAAGGCCGTTCGCCCCAATCATGCTCCACACTTTCAACAATCCTTGAACAGCCTACAGTACCGTCCAGAAGAGTCGTTTGACAGACTTCTCCGCCATCAAGGCTTACACCTCTGCGCCTCATCAGACGCCCTGCCTCGGCGCATCAATGTCTACCAAAAAGCGTGACGATATTATCCACTGGTAGATTTGAAATATGCGCCCTCTGAATGTGGCCCTATAATGCTACCGAACGCTTTGGTACTACCCAAACATCCATTACTATTAGAATTACTATCGGTAGGGATCCCAGAGCCAGCTGCACGTCGTTTCACACTGCCCGGACAATTAAACTCTAGTAGTCATAGTTTGCCATGATTCTTTTTCCAGAAGACGATCTGACCGGACTACTCGACCTCTTTATTCCTTGGCTTGTTCCTGGACAATGTGGCGCACGCATTTCCACAAATGGTTATTTCCGTTTTACGAATCATGGGGTTTTGGTGTGCGGGTTGAGGATCTCGACTGGCTCGTATCCGAGATCCTCATTGACAAAACTCCGCCCCACAGTTCACGATTTGTGTCCCGGTCCATCCCCTGTCTGCCGATCTTTCTCCTCACTAATCCAGGTTCTTCAAACTCAACCATCGTACGATCATCAGCACAATGTGAGGAAAGATCGACCCACGAGTAGAAATTGCACCATGTTTCTTGCCATGTCGCTGGCACCCATTACAGGTTTTGCATCATCATAGCTTGGGTGTTGAGTGTGACTGCAACTATTGAAGGTGTCATGTTTGATTGGCCACGCCGCGGATGAGCAAGTAGCTACTACACATCGTGCCGCGATTTGGCGCTAGCTGTTGTCACAAGGTCACGGTGCAAGAGCTAGCGATAGCGGTCTTTTGGAGGTTTTGACGTGTGCCAAATAGTATGTATATCCCTACTCATCGAACCACCTGTAGTGGGATAATGGGCTGCACTAGGCAAAGGTTCAAACTTTGCGCCATTTCGGCCAAGTCTGAATCCGAGCTTGGTTTTGATGCTACCCAATGTACTTAGCTTCACCGGCATCCAGGTTGACTTCTGCAATGTCAATTAAACTATGGTTTTGTGACGTGGTCGGAGATGAGCCGGCAAGATATTAGTCTGTCAAGCATTTGGGCGAGGGAGCAGCCGGTAATTACCGTGTCATGACAGTCAGATGCACGTGTACTCTGTAGGTTGCACATTGTTCGGAAGAGACAGCAGTTGGTTTGCAGAAGAAGAGGAAATCCCTTTGTGAACTGTCAAGCATCGGTTATATGGGTAGATTGTCAGTAAGAGCAGCACTTGAATGTGGAGTGATGTTCGGGCAATTGGTGAATCAGTGTGGATCTGTCTGTAGTCATGAACAGTAGAGTATTTGTCAAGAGTACAGTATCAAACATGTGACTGTGCCAGTTACGTGGCCTCATTTCATTCCGCATCAAAACAGGTCCGAGAAGATGTTGCTTTTGCATTGGGACCTGCAGCCTTGATCGTTTTTGGATGAGAGATGGGCACTGCAGTGGACATCTTGTCGTGTAGTTGAGATGAATGATTGCCCGTCCGAAGCCAGACAAGATACAGGGGCGACGTACATACATACATACACACATGTGTTGTTTCATTTTCCACGTTGGCATTCTATTGATGGCAATAAATGTCTTGGCATTATTGTACGGCGGCCGGGAGGATGTGTAGAAACTACATAGCACATTGCTTACTACCAGTGCATGCTACCGATAAACCAGAGGCTTACCTTCTAACCCTCGAATGTGGTACTGAAGATGAACAACACAATCGGACTGATACCGAGTACACAGACTGGACCCAGTGCTGCCAATCATGATAAATGCCCTCTGGCAGAGAAACGGGGCGCTGAATCAAACATGAACAACACACCATCGGATAACTGCATGGTGGAAGACAACGTGCAGGCGTTTGGGCGAGTGGGAGATGCCATGCTGCCCAATACAGCGGGCAATACATGAGGGCGCAAGGTGGCTTTTGGTTGACAACAAACGCAGTGGGCTGGACGCATCACCAGAATTGCAGGGCGGCGGCGGTGGTATGCCGGAAGTGTAGCCATGAGCGGCAGCCGTCTTCGGCGCGAGTCTCTCGATTACGTATGTATGCGGGGGAGGGGAAAAAAGCCCAATGATACCGAGCGCCTACGGCCTTGCAAGGGCATATGCAAAACATATCTCTTCTGCTGTGAAACCTTGCAACACACCCGTCCGTCCTTGCCACCAAATCTTGCATCGAGCCTCGCCCGAAAACACAAACTTCCCAAATCCCAGCCAGTGTGCTGGAGTCAGCAACGGCTGCCCGCAGCTGAGAAGAAGAAGAAGAAGAAGAAGAAGACGAAGAAAAGCAAAGTAGCATCACACCGTTTTGCCGCGTTTGCCCACCCCCCCTCCGAGCAACGTGCCTCAGGCGCGAGAGATGAAGGAGAAAATTTTCTACGCTTTCCTGTCGGCGCAGCAGCGGGGCTGAGAAATATCGCCTCTCCTAGGCCGCCTCACCTTCTGCGCTCCAGCTGGCACCCATGTTCCCTTGAGCAATTGCTCGTCTCGCCCCTCTCCTACCAGACCCGTTCGCTGGGACCGACGCAACAATGACTCCTGGGACTGGCTGACGCCCACGTCGCGTAGTGCAATGGCAATGACGCGTAGCTGCTGGACCGTCTGCGGTGGCAAGCCGTCTCAGCTTGGATGACCATCAGCTACCTGCCGACTAGGCCAAGCCAAGCACTACCAGACAGAGTATCTACTTATATAAACTCTAGACCGCTCCTCCCTGCGTGCCTACGTAGCAGGTTCCAAGTCTTCCAAAAGAGCACGCCAGACAAGCCCGTCCAGCCAAAAGGTGAGCAAGCGCATTGAAAAAGCCGAATGCGTCGTTGGCACGCGTGTGATGCACGCAGCCACAGGTGCTGAGGCGCAAACGAACGGGCGCCGTATAAGGGGCGCGCTTATGACATGGAACGGTTTCGTGCTGACCGTGCGATAGGCTTCCTTGACGGCTTTCCGCGCGGGCGCCTTTCACGATCCCTCTTGCAGATCTCTGGTCCATTTGACATGCTTGCCCAAGCCAAACATAAGCCGGACCCTTGCTTTTGCCAAAGCGAATGACCTTCCGAGCTTGGTCACACAGAGCTAGACAACCACTCAACCACTATCACTCGGCAACCCACCGGAACTGCCCTCGTCTACTACCGATCCATAGCCCTTGATAGCCATATATACGCCATCCCATCACAAGCCCGCCAGACGGCCAAACCCGCAATCCACCGAGAACGATGCCGCCTGCGAGCTCCTCCTTCACGCCTCTCAATGTCTCGGACGACATTGTGCCAGAATGGCTGGGCTCCTTCACCTTGGCAGCGCCCCCAAATACCGACCTTTGGAGAAAGCCTCCATCCGGTGATGTTTCCACGGCCCCGATACTTTACACAGCGCTGCGCAATCCTTTCATAGCCGCTGAAGTTACAGTGTCTGCTGATTGGGAGTTGGAATGGGATCAAGGGGGGTTGGTCATATTCGCGGGCACACCGCCAGGACAAATTGCGGCAAGACAAGCACAACAAGCAGCAGCAGCGGCGGCGGCGGCGGCAACAACAACATCACCACAATCAACAACAACATCAACAACCAGCACCCTCGAGGTTCCCAATATTGCAGATATTTTGCTAGAAGACGACGACGACGACGCGACACAAGGACCTGCGACGTCATCACTGCCTCAGACGTCGATAGCCAGCAACCCTGGAAACGTGGAACCACCATCCCCCAACCCGCCTGGTACCGGACCCCAGCCAGTCGTAGTCGACAGCCGCGGACCCCCACCCGCCTACCCAGCAGTGCAAACGCCAGCCTCAAAATGGGTCAAAGTCGGCCTGGAATTCTGCAACAACGCCTGCCACGCGACGTCTGTAGTCGCAAACTCTGACGGCGCCGACTGGTCGCTTTCGGCGCTCCCAGCGCACCAGCAGCGACGCTACGACTTGCGGGTCAAGATTGAGCGGATTGGCTATGCGCTTTGGGTATGGTACGAGGATGATTTGGTCGGCTGGAAAAAGTTGAGGGAGGTGACGTGGTTTTTCTGGGGCGTCGAGGATAAGGCGGTCAGGGTGGGCGTGTATGCTAGTCGTCCGGCTAACTTTGGCCTCAGCATGTTTGATGCCAGACGGACTGCGGCGAATGGCGAGGCTGGCGGTGATGGGAGGTTTCAAGCAAGGAATCTGTGTGTGGATTTTGAAGGGTTGGAGATTTTTTGAAAAAAAAAAACCAAGCAGACGGGGGTTTGTTCGACGGGGGTTTTCTTTCTTTCATCCTCTTCCTCTTTCTCCTCCTTCTTTTATTGCACACTCTTAACAAATCTCTTGGGGGGGGGGGGGAGGTATCTCAAGTCGCAAGGATGGGTTAGTTTCCTTTCGTTTCTGTTCATCTTCATCATCCTCTTTTTTTTTGTCTGTACAAATTTAATGGGACTACGATTGATACCAGTTTATATATATACTATAACTATATGTTTATTGATAAGTACAATATGAAGGTAGATTTGTCCAGTCTTGCTCTCCTTCGCTCTCCTTCACTCTCTTTGTACATGCATATCGGTGTACACAAATAATCTTCTCAAACTCCCAATAACACTCCATCACCCTTCCCAAAAAATCAATCTTTTCACCGACTTAACTCCAAACAATTACATCCTAACCCAATAAGTTACTCTATTAAGCAATACTCTAGTCTCTCTACAACATACGAAATCCCTCCTACAAAGTACAAAATGAACAATCCCTTCTTTCCCTTCATCAAAGTCTCTAACTTTTCTATCTCCCATTGAACCAAAAACCAAAAAGGGATTGAGTACATGATGAAGAGACCTAACTTGGATATATCATGGGAAGCAGGAATAATCTAAGGGATCTGTATGTTTTTCTGAGCGCCCAAAAAAAAGAGAGCGATATGATAGGTTCAATACAGACTGATATCATTTGAATCTGGAAAGATGGATCTGAAGAGATGGAGAAAATTTGGTATCAGGGGCTTGTTTTTGCATTCTGATGTAATATGTTGAGAAAGAAGAAGATGGATAATTACCGTAGTGTGCGTAGAAGAGTTTTATATACGGTGATGCACTGGAGTACCATTTTTGTTCAGAGACAGATCGATGATAAGCACATTGCAAAGCATCGATAGGAATAAATGACTTAAATGTCATATAAATTACGATTACTATCATATCTAGAAAAAAAATCTAATTACCATCAAACACCAGCCAGCTGTCCAGACACCCCAGGCGCCTCGGATAAAGGACATAAGAGCGAGCGTCATGCAAACTAAAAAGAGATATATACATTCACGAAAAAGAGGTTTCCATACAACATTTGCTCGTTCTTTTGTCATCTTTTTCATCAAATCTTGGCCTCGGCAATGATGTAAGGACCGATAACACAGACAGCCGTCCAAATCACCATTGTGCTCTCGACAATCAGTGTCCATGGAATCATGTAGAACGGAACCTCGAGTAGTCGGACATAGATGGCATAGACGGCGACGTAGAAAAAGTGGTAGACCAGCATCCAGGGATGGGTAATCAGACCGGCCAACATACCGCTTGGCTCGGCGACGCTGGCACCGCCACGTAAAAAGTACTTGAAGCATCCCTTCTTGATGAGTTCGAGGTAGACGTTGTCTGCGGCGAAGAGCGAGTAGAGGGCCATGGCGAGAATGTTGATGACACTGGTGCCGTTCTTGCGTTGCCAGTGGAATTTGCCGAGGGCGGCGAGAACGGCCTCGGAGTCTTCGAGCGAGGGAATGTTAGCGGGGGAGAGAAGGGAAGAAAGAAGGACTACGTCGTTGAAGGCGACCGTCATGCCGCCGCCGGTAAGGGGATGGCGCATGTTCATTGCGTCGCCGAGGATGATGAGGCCGGCCTGCTTCTGCGTCGAGGGAGGCAAGAAGGAGTTTGGCATGCTACGGAGCTTGCCTTGCTCGACTGCTTTGCGGAATGCGGGCTGTACGCATTCCGGAAGGCGGGGCAGTGCTACGTTGAGCATGTGGTTCTTGATACCGCCATTCTTGGGCGACGCCGAGGGCAAGTTCTCTGGTACATCGATGAGAATACGCGTCTCGTGGGTACCAATCTGGTAGATGAGGATTGGAGGTGCGTCGGTGAGAATGACATGGCCGTGGTTCGGGACAGGAAGTTGAGCGTCAATCATCTCCAGACCCCAGAACTTGCTGCGGACCTGGGGCTGGTGAGGAATGTATTCCTTGCGGAACTTTGATGCATAGCCGTCGGCGACCAGGGTCACAGCACCAAAGAAATAGTCTTGTTCGCCGTCAGTTTGACACGATACACCTACGACCTGGTTGGTGTGGTCGCTCTTGACTAGCGACGTGACAGTCGACTCAACAACAGTAACATTGGGCGTTGCCTTTGCCTTTGCGCGGAGCTTGGAGATGAAGCGGCCGTGGTGAAAGGAGCGACCTTCGGGTGCCTTTGAGGGCGCGCCTTTAATCAGGTTGTCGGGATAGGGAATGTGGGCCTCCTCTTTGTGGTACATGACCTGATAGCCATAACAGGGAATGGCGTCAATGTCATCAAGGCAATCTATAATGTTCTGTCAGCGTCCCACTTCATCATCGAAACAGACACCGCGTACCCCTCATGCCCAATTTCTCAAGGGCATTTACACCGCCAGGTTGCAGCAGCTCGCCGACAATGCGGTCAGGCTCCTTGAGACTCTTTTCCAGCAATATGACGCTTCTGCCCTGCTTGCCGAATGCGACAGCAGCAGCACAGCCCAGGATACCAGCACCGACAATGACGACATCTGCCTCGTGGTGGATGCGCCGCCTTTGTTCGCGATAGTCTGTTGTTTCTATGGCTTGGGCCGTGGGCGCAATTTGTGTCGACGAGCCTCTTTTGCGCAGCTGTGGAGAATGTGTGGCGCTGACACCAGGCGGTAGCTCGGTGAGCTTGGTGCCAGAATACATGGTGAGCATGGCTGCGATTATTATGGGCCGGGTCGAGGGCCCAGCTGAAAGCGTTGATGGTGGGTGAGGGCGGTGGAGGCTGCGATAACAAAACAAGCAAGCAAAAGTGTTGGGCTCGAGGCAGGTGATTTTGGACAGCCAAAAGCAACAGGGCTAGGTAGTAGAATAGGGTCAGAGGACGTGGTAAGAAAAAAAGTCGTAGATAATTAGAGGTAGGCAAACACGAGATGCGAGGCTCAAAAGATGTCAGGGTCCGGCAGCTTTTACTCGTCCCTCTTGTCTTGATTCCCGGGCGTGGCGAACCCACGATCTTAAGCGTCGATGTCGACGACAGGGATCGCCCTCACCGCCTCCATGTTTCTGCCAGGGGTTACCGTCCTTGCATGCTCATTGGCCAGCATGGCGTGAACATGGCCTCACCCGCAAAACTGACTTGGCCTCACACCATCATCGTCTTTTTAGCAGTCAGACGGTGAGTGACTAAGGAAACAAGGCTGGCAGCCTTATCAACCACTGCTGCACAACACTCATGCATATGTATCAATGGCAGAATTTTTATGTTACAAGGCTGCTGCAGTAAATCCTGTGAAGCAGGTAATCCGATTATATATCCATACTAATACCTATTACCAACAAAAACCAACCATGGCTTTTACAAGTCAGCCAACAATAAATATATAATACACAATCCGAAGAGAATATTAAACAAAACCCCCCCATGTCGTGTCGTGGTGGACAAAACCCTTTTGCCTAGAAGGTAGACATAACACTCGTCACCGTATCTTTTTTTTGTCGCCTGTCCAAACCCCAAATTCCGATTTTCCCAACCGCATGAATATCCAGAGTTCAACCGTCCCAGTTGAAGAAGAAGAAAAGAAAAGCATCCAAGGTCCATCCGAGGCCCATGTTGTCTTGTGGCCACAGCTCCAGCCATGTCTTGCTATTGACGCTGGCGTGCATGTCCAGTCTCAATACGCAGTCCCGGGTTGCCTAGAAACCATAGGCGACGCCAAGGGCGTGTCGACTTCGATAATGACGGATCGTCTGTCCAGACTGTGTTGCATCGTCTCAACAGACTGCGCCGGCCCAAAGTGCGAGTTGCGGTAGTACGCCTCGTAGAATTCGCTTAGCCGCGAGTCCGTCGCCCCTGACTGCCCAGGCGCAACAAGATTCGACTGTCGACCTTGTGATTCGCCCTCGCTGATAATAGACCCCAGGATCGACGTATGCCCAGACATTGCCGTCGAAGACTCGGATAGTGGCCGTTCCCTCGCCAATCTTTCCGCCTCTTGTCCTTGCATACCACTATGCTCCGATGTGTGGTACACTACCCCAAATGCGCTCAGCCCCGTGTGGCTGTTGCTGCTGCTGTACATGCTGCTTGCATCGCTTCCTCCTTCACAGTACGGAGAGTATGCGCGCGGTTGGAGTCTGGCGGGGACAGCATACGACGAATATTGTGCAGGCTCAGAGTCTTTGGTCAAAAGTTAGGGTGGGCCCAGTATAGTATGTAACTACCAAATTGCTAAAAATACAAAAAATTCAACGCACCAGGGAGCTGGCTACCTACTCGGCTCGTGAACCTGCACGCGAGGGTATCCATTCTCAGGCGATGGCGATCGGGATTCTTTCCGCAGCGCATGGCCCGGGAGCGTAGGCAGCTGAGTGGTAGGAGGGTTGTAAGGTGATTGGCCCGAAGACGAGTCATATGCCATGGTGTCGGAAAGTCGGAAGTTGCTGTTGTCGTGCTCGTAAGAACCAAATGTCGTAGCTGGGGGATCGCGAGGAGGAGCACCTGGCGATGGAGGAACTTGAAGCGACATGTCGACCATGTGGTTGTGCCTTCCGCTGAGTTCAGCCTCCGAGGGACGGAGCTTCAAGGTTGAAGGTGGAGGACGGTGAGTGGCATCGTTGGCGGCACTGAGGTTCAGACTGAGCGTGCTGTTGTTGGTGGACTGGCCCTTCATGAGCGGCGAGCTGGCGCTGCCTCCAACCAGCGTGCTGTTGCTCATAGCTCCGGGGTGATTGCTAACGATGGATCCTGCCCTTGATGTAGGGCGCGACTGAGCAACACCAGCGTAAAAACCTGCCTCGATGGCCCGAATACCAAACAAATCTCCCTCATCCTTCTCACGTTGGTTTAGCTCGACGGTGTCCTCCTTGGGTCCAGCTTCAAGCTCGGCCTTGGTCGCCTTCTTTAACCTGTTTCCATTGTAAGCTACTGCCGAGTGTTACTTTGTTCGTTCAACGTACCTCTGTCGGTTGTATAGCACCTTGATGAATCCAGCAATGATGGTAATGAGGAGCAAACTCATAAATACGACACTGACACGGATCAGTCTTGTTTCGTTAGCCAGTGTGTACGGCAACTTACACATATTTGTATGCCAAGTCAAGGTTTCCAAACCAGTTCGCCATTGTGGTTAGGGTAGCGGACAATGGTGTCTAAATTGGGGTATCGTAGGGAAGGTAGTCTTCTGGGGTTGGTGGTGTACGGATGGCAATCTTCAAGGTAGTGTGTTCCAGTGACCCGGTGCTCGAGGTGTGGTGACGATCCGAATTAGGACAGGATGTGCGTTCTTTCCTGATTAGTTGTAGGGTTGTTTTGTCTTGCCGTCAAACGAGTGGTGGGTGAAGATGCAGAACATGTGCAGTCGGGAAATACGCAGTATAGACAATATAGTAGTTATGAGAAGCGAAAGGACGTGTGATGGAAGCACACCAGTAATGATCGGATCGGGGAAGCAAACTCCTGAAAAACCAAAAGCTAGACGAAGGAGCGAGGAGGGAAGGGGGGATAAATGAGGGTAGTAGGTCCAGAAGGGATCGCTGTCTTCCTGGGCGATTTGGCGCCATGCGTACCTACATCCGGCGTGGGCACACATGCTTTGGGATCTAAAAGCGGAGTAAGGAACTCGGGTGTTAATGCCTGCCCGCAAAAGAGACCATCGGTCGCCAATCACCGGCAAGGCACTGCCAGGAAAAGAAGTTTCACGCATATGCGCTAAGGATATTGGCTGTGAAGTAGCCGTTACCCATGCAAAGGCAGCCTTGCCCCGAAGTCAGTGCTCCCAAGGATCCAGCAGCGCTCTTGATCGATGGCAATCTGGGCGCTCGTAAAATCCCACCTATTGGTGGTCCAGCCCGCCCAAGTTCCACCTGCACTGCACTCGCTGTCTGGGCGACTGCTTGCTTTGCTTTGCTTCACCCAGAGCCCTATGGTACTGAAGCGCCGGGAATGGCGCAACAAACGGCGGCGGGCCCAACAGATGGCATCCGCTGGCCGAGCAGCCCAACATGGACATTTGGCCCGGCCTTGGAAGGGGGGAATAGAGGCAAAGCGATAAAGGCGTGATAATTGGCATATACTGGGCCGTCGTGTGTCGAGTAAAAATGCCGACAGGCACCAAAATAGCGGACGGTCAGGCCGCCGAGCCCGCCCCGCTTATATTCAGTGCTTGGCAGGAGAAGCCACCCGAAAGTGGCTAAGGCACGGGCGCCAGTGGCCCCTGCGTCTTTTCTTTTTGCAGTCCTAGCACACCAACACCCATGCGAAAGCCAATGCCCATGTCCATACTCGCCAGCCATCACATGCTTTTCTCAAGCCTCTCTCTCTCTCTCTCTCTCGTTGCTTTCACCCTATTGCGCTCTCGCCACAGCTCTTCGCACGTCTCCCCAAGTCGCCCCACCACTGGCCGCAACCTCCCGGCTCGCTCGGTAGCCATAGTGAGACTCCCGACTTCTGCCCTGTGGCCTACTCCTACTTACTAGGTGTACACTATTACATACCATATCTACAGAGTGCAAGGTGCCTTTAACCGTTGACCCTTCCCCCATCCCACGCTATGGTTTGTGGATGCACATGATGCAAAGGGCGCAAAGCCACTACCCTGTTACAAGCCCAAATCGCTAGAGGCGTGTCGCACTACGATGCAACTGGCTCAGCGCCGCCCAAACGAAACACCTATAACTCGCTTCTGACTCTGCGTCCTCAGTCGTGCAGACTGTGCCGCTTTCGACGGCGACGGCAAAACGACGACCCACTGCGCAGCCATTCCGGGCGAGGGCCGCAGTTCCCCATGCCGCCGCCAGCGCCTCAACAGCATCATCATGACAAGTTCCTTGATGGCACGGCTAACGTGCTAGTGTATGCCAACAGGCGTCATCTGCTACCTTGGGTTTATCCGCTGTTACGTCCCATGTCTACTTACTCGGATGGCACCGTGACCGCTGTGACAGGGGATACCATCGCTTGTTTACATAAGTGCTCTCGTACAGACAAGCCCGTTCCCTTGGCCAAGCTCGGCTACTGGCGCTTCTGCGGTCGTGTTCCCCTATAACCTCGTACTTGTTCGCACCAGCAACAGCGGTCGCCGGGTAGCGTGGCCCGAAGCCTCACACTGTGATTTCTTTCCATGACGCCACAACGTGGCCAATGCGATGCAGCGAGATTACAGGTTGTAATGCCATGGACTCCACGGCCTTCCCTACTGAACCTACGCCGCACGCCGCCTTTCGCTATTATTGTCTCCGGCAAACTATCAATAGACGAGAGTTTAGCGCATTTCCTAGTGAAGATCTAGTAGCAACTCTCTTTCGGCGGCATTACTAGGAAATTCGCTACCATAAACCTAACATGACTCTTGTTCGGAAAAAAACTTCTTTTGCAGGACCAGGTCAACAGTTGGCTTATTAGAGTGGTGTTGTTGGAAAAGCAGCGTGTTGTTTGTACCAGGAAGTTACCCTGCACCCTGTGGCTTTCCTCTATGGGCAGTCAGCAAACCCGTGAAGATCGACAGGGTCGTCAGCAGCTTGTCTCTTCCGCTCCTGGTTACACTTTTCTTATCTGAACGTCATGATCCCGCCTTAGGACAAGCAACTGCAAATCATTCAACAACGCCGTGAAAGCATTCGTGTATACATGCGAGGCCTGTGCCCTCTCCGTGGTTACCAGGAGCACACACCCATACCGGCTCGTCAAGTACAAGTCCAAATTACTACATCGACTAACGTGGTTCACAAGCGAGTCGGCCACCCAAGCGAGTCGGCCACTTTGCTCCGACGCGTTAACGTCAACACTATAACACGTAATGACTCAACAACGTAACTCTCAAACTTTATACTCTGAATCAGATCTTCAAATTGCTCTTTTTGATATCCAATTAAAACGTGTTAAAAGCCAAAGACGTGCTGCTTCTATCTATAACGTGCCTCGAACTACTCTTCAAGACCGACG